CAAAGAAAACTAGTGTAAATTACTCAATGGAATTGTAAGGTATCGGAGGCAGTGTCAATTCCCATACCGGCTGAGATTACGGTGAAGGTCCCACCTTCTCAATCTCACTTTCTTGCCTTAAGTCTTGTGACCCTCAGGTTAACCATAAACCAATCATCTCTAATGAGAGAGCTGCTCTATCGTCCTCTGGGAACATGGCGACTTTATCTTTTACATTGGGAGATGTAAGGGATTGGAGGAGAAATATACTTTTGTAACACGTATTGTGATCGAATCCCAAATTGTTGCTCTGTTGATAATGTACTTAAAGTGCTGTCCTTTTTTTTTCTAGAAAGATCCTTGGATGCAGGATATTCTTGCAATGCACAACGTATTATTCTTGTGGTGTTTCTTGGAGGCTGCACTTTTTCAGAAATTGCAGCGCTAAGGTTCCTGGGTAAAGAGAAAGGTAACACTAATTATCTGATATCATGAATCATTCCTGCATTTCTTCCAGTGACATTATGATTGTTCTCATGAAGCTTGTTTTTAATTTTTAATGCAAAAGCGAAATGCTGCAGGCTCTGGGGCTCAGATAAGAACAAACAGAAAATGCTGATAATAGAGAGGAGCAGATTTCTGATGAAGGGTCTTTGACAGAAATGTTAACTCTTTTCTCTCTCTTCACTGTTGCCTCCACCAGCTGAGTATTTTCTGCTTTTATTTTCAAAATGTATTTAAAATATCGTACTTCCATAATGGAGAAATGAGAGCCTTGTCAATCTGAAAGAAGTATACTTAGCGCCGGGATTGTCAGCAAGACCAATAACTGAGCTGTCCTGTTAACTTGCTGCACTATAAGAACCAGAAACTTCTGGATTGAGTCTCTAGCTTGCGTGGAATGAATGAATTTCAGCAGGAAGAGGGATGTAATTGGCCACTTCCAGTGGCAGAGGCTCAGTTACCAGCAGGGCACAGATCAAAGATAATTGCCAAAAGAGCTAAAGACAACATAAGGAAATTTTATTTATATGTTGAGTTCTGAGGTGTGGAAGCAGATTCAGTAATACTGAAAAGTGAATAGGATAAATGTTAGATAAATGGGAAAGTTGATGGGAAGAAAAGATGCAGGAATTTGGGGAAAGAGTGGGGAGTGGGATTTAAGATCTAGAACAGACACAGTGAACCAAATGATCACTGTTCCTGTTCTGAAGTAAAGTATGCCATGCTCCAACTCATGAGATGCTGTCTAGTGCGCCACACCAGAAGATGTGCTGTGTGTATTGGGTGTGATATGTGCTTTGTCTGAGTGCATGAGGTGTGTGAAGGAGGGGCTAACTTGCCTCTGATTTGCCCTGACGTCACAGAAGTTAGTCTGTTAATACTTACACTCATACATCACATGTCAGGCTGCTACAGCCAGTTTGCACTTTTGAAGTTTAGGTTTCAGTCAGACCTGACTCAGGGCTTCAAGAAAGGAGCAGGAGAGCAAAATGGCATTTCCTAAGTCACTTTAAACAGGTAGATAATATTTGACTCCAGCCAAAACCATTCATTCTCTCTTTCCCCCACAGGATACAAGTTTGTTTTTGTTACCACAGCGATCACAAACAGTTTTCGGATGCTGGAATCTCTGTTAGAATCATAAAAATGCAGCAGTGTCGTCAGTATCAGAGCTACGGAGAGATGGAGCAAAATTAAATCGAGCAGAAAAGCCAAAAGAAGAACTTGAGTCGACCTCGCTGTAAATTAACTATCTGGAGTCTAATGGTGATAAGCATGGAGTCACCAACATCTAATAAAAACATGGGCACATTCTGAGATTTAAACCTTTGCATGTGGCCAAGGTTTTTTGAGGTACTGAGCCTATAAAATGGCTATACACAAAATATGATTTTTGAACTGTGTCTATCAAAATCCATCTCATGATTGCTTAGGCAGAGGAACTTGATTGTGGGGATAACTTTCATTTGGGGAAGGACAGAATGAATTCTAGCTTAAGAGGCAAATGTAAAGAATATACAACACATTTGCCTCAGCAAGAGCTGAATTCACGTTGTATTGAACCAGTTTTCAGAAGAAACTTTTGAGTTTGGAGATTAGAGAGGAAGAACTTAGTTTTATGCAGCACTTTTCATGTACCTGAAGCACTAATTTTTTCAGGTAATTACCTACTTTCAAACTTTAATTACTTGCTTCTTAGGCAGATATGGCAGTTAGTTTGTTGTGTAGCAAGCTCCCACAAGAAGTAATGAGATCATGACAAAATAATCTGGCCTGATATTGGGAATTCCACATTAGATTCACTTGTCCCCATGTCTAGTTCCTCAGATGGCCAAGAATGTAAACGGATGTTCATTGGTCTTTCATTCAGACACCACCAGTTTGAGTAGAATATACTTGGAGAACCAGAATTATTCTTAAGGAATTGTCAAATATTAAAATTGAAGAGTGAGGGTCTCAAGAGAAACAGAAGCTGGATTAATAGAAGTGGAAATGTCCAACCGAAGAAGAACAAAAAAAGCTAATATTTTGCATTGAATGTCTGACAAAGGATCTCAAATGAAACATTCAGCCTTTTCTTTTGAAATTGGATATGAGGTTTGAAACGTCATTATTGTGAAGAAATGTTATTGTTTCTGTACAGAAGCAAAGCTGTGGTTTTGTGAATTGTGGAGAGTTAGTTTTAATGTAGTTTTATTATATGCCAAAGATGCATGATCAGTAGGGCTGGAAATATTCTGCCCTGCAAACACATGAAACCTTTGTAAATACCCGTGATTTGTGTTTGGTGTTTGAGGGAATGCAACTGAAGTATATTTTAGATCCTGAACTTTATCCTTTACTCTCTCAAAGGCACTAATTCCTGTGTTCTGACTTGTTCCTTGATCTGTTGATGTGGGGGTCTGTTACACCTAACATCAAGTACGAGCATTTGAGGGGTGTAAATGAAAAGAATTACAGCAAAACCTGATAAACGCCTGTCTGCACTGACATATTTTACAGTAGGATTAATGAGACACGTATCAGCAGCAGACAGCCTGACTTTTTCTTTTCCTTTCCTGTGTCCTAGGGTGTTTGACATCAATGGGAATCCCCTCAGATAATGTTCTGACTGTAATCAGATTACTCAATCTGAACATGGAAGCTGGCTGATTGTGTTGCAGAAAACCACAAAGGGAGAGGTTACTTGTTCCATCTCACTGGTACTCTTCAATTGAAGCATTTCCCTTTAATTTAATTTTCCTGCCCCTTCCTTGTACAGTGTATATTTTTATGTTCCTCCGTTTACAAGTTTTATGCAATTTAATTGTAACGTGGTATAATGTTGCTACTTTAGTAGTTAATGCCAGAAAGCCTTTTTGAATTGGACTGTTGTAGTTCATGGTAAGATCTTTAAGTAATGCTAACATTTATTACTAGTAATATATGAAAGTTTTGGTTATTGAGGATGTGAAATTTCACCTGTACCGTTAGCCTTAGAATTGTGAAGCTGTGTTGTGCACTGAACTGTGTTTGTCTACGTAATGTATAATAAATCTGTTTTATAAAATGCACTTCTCCAATTGTGGTTAATATCTGGAATTTATTTTTATATATATTTTCAAGCTTTTTTTGTATGTTCCAAAGCCATGGAGTAGAAAAAGGCTGTTCAAATGTTGTGGATCTTGTCTGATTTTACTTCCCCCTAGCAGGTGTCATGGCCTAATGAACCATCCAAAGGACCACATATTGAACACATGAAGCACTCACTCACTACTATGTTGAAGCCTGGTTTCTGTGCTTAGCTCTCTAGAGTGAAACTTTCAACCATCTGACTCCGAGGCATAAATGTCAGCACTGAGCTGATGGAGCTTACGTGTTCCCTGTCCAACCTTCTCCTTGTGTACATTTCTATGAATGCTGGCTGCCCTCCTTTGCCCTCAGCAAAGACCTCAGTCTTCACATATTGGTCAAAACCATGGCTATTGAGAGGCTATTCAACCACTATGACCCTCAAATCACTCAAACACAAAGAATCAATTCTTTACAAAAATCAAATGTTTTATGATGCATCTGCCATACTTACAATCAGATACTGGTTTCAGGAAAAAAAGTTGAACAAAAGCACAATCTTTCCAGTTGGTCTCTCTAGTCTGGAAATAACATGATCCCGCCCTGAGATGTTAGGCCAAAGACATACCAATCTGAAGCATCTTTTATAAACAACAGTAATTAATCTCAAGTTAATCGCTGACTGTGCGTAAGTTCTCATGTGCAATTTTTTTTTAATTCACTTGTGGGACATGGGTATCGCTGGCTGGCCAGCATTTATTGCCCATCCCTAGTTGCCTTCGACTGGTAGAATAAAAACAGCCCGGTTTATGACCAATGCCTCAGTGATGCTCCTGTCAAGGCTCTTTATTTAAAAATTCATTTTTGGCATGTGAGCGTCAATGGCAAGGCCACTATCCATTTCCCATCCCTTTTATTAAATATGTCAGGTTTTGTTTAATTTTTTCTATTGATTTCAGGGATTTGTGTTTGCATCGTTATGTACGTTATAAAGCACACTTGCAAGTTCTGATTCTGAGAATTATATTTCATGTCTGTAAACAACATAACCTAAGAAATAGGAATGGAAGTAGGTAATACAACACCCATTACACATGTATAATGTATCCAAATTCTCTCTCTCGCAACCTTCCTTGTCTTGTTCATTAATACTACGGTGGTCATTGCTTTTCTGAAATATCCCTAGCATATTTCTCCAACACTAAATAGTTTGTTCTACATGATATTCCTCATCTCTGCAATCTCATGAAGACATTGTATCATCTGGTGGTATTAATTTGTCTTATTCCAGTACCTTACTTAAACATAGAAAATAGGAACAGGAATAGGCCATTAAGCCCACTCCACCAATCAATATCATGTCAGATTTTCTACATCTATATCATAATCCTGTTCTTTTCCCATCCCCTTTGACACCTTTAGCCTCCAGAAATCTATTTTTTTCTTAAATATACTCATTGACTTCACCCCATTTTGTAGTACAGAATTCCACAAGTTCATCACCTGAGTGAAGAAATTTCTCCTCATCTCAGTCCAAAATGACCTGCTGCATATCCTGAAACTGACTCTCAGTAAGGGGAAACATCATCCCTGCATCCTGTCAGAATTTTACGTGTTTTGGTGAGATTCTGTCTCATTGTTTTAACCTGCGGGGAATACAAACCCAGTCAACCCAATTTCTCCTCCTGTGACAAACTTATCATCTCAGGAACCAGTCTGGTGAATCTTAGCTGCATCCCTTCTATGCCGAGACTATCTCTTGACTAAAGAGACCAAAACTGCAGACAATACTCCAAGGGTGGTCTTACCAAGGCCCTATGCAGCTGCAGTAAGACTTCCTTGCACCTGTACTCAAAATGCAATGAAGGCAAACATACCATTCGCCTTCCTATCTGTTTGCTGAATCTATGTGCTTATTTCCAGTGACCAGTGTGCAAGGTTACCCAGGTCCCTTTGTCCATTAACATCTCCTAATCTGTCCCTACTTTAAATAATACTCTGCCATTCTGTTTTTTTTTTAAAACAGTGAATTGAAGAACATCCCACTTATCCACATTGTACTGCATCTGCCATGTATTTTCCCACTCATTCAACTTACCTAAATCATCTTGAAACTTTTCTGTATCATCCTTACCATTCACAATCCCACTTAATTTGGTGTTCTGATCAAGCTTGGAAATATTACATGTGATTATCTCATCCAAATCGTTCATATATATCGTGACTAGCGGGGGCACAAGCACTGTACTCCAATAAAAACCACCTTCCATTAACCAATTCTCCATTCATGCCAGTAAATTACCGCCAATCTCATGTACTTTGATTTAGCAACTAAACTTTATAAAGTTTTCTGAAAATCCAAATACATCACTTACATTGGTGGTACCTCATCTATCCTACTAGTTAAAACCTCAAAACAATCCAGTAATTTGTCAAATTCCTTTTCATAAATTTATGTTGACTTTGTATAATCCCATTCATATTTTTAAGTGGTCCTGCTATTACATCCTTTCTAATAGAATCCAGCATTTTCCCTACTATTGATGTTGCCTAGTCAGTCTGTAATTCTTGGTTTTTTTCTCTCCCTCCTTTTTTAAATAGTGGAGTCACATTTGCCATTCTTTAATCTGCCTGACTGTTTCAGAATTCACAGAATTTTTGGATGTGCATCCACTATTTCCATAGCCATCCACTTTAGCACCACGGGATGTAGATTACCAGGCCCTGGAGGTTTATCATGAATTTCTGTAGCACTTTTACTCATACTAATCTTCTTTGTCTCCTCCTTACCAATTGACCCTTCCTTCCCTCGCATTTCTGGGAAATTATTTGTTTCTTCTGTGAAGACAGAACTAAAGTGGTTTAACTGTTCTGCCATTTCCTTGTTCTCCATTACCAATTCTGTTTCAGACTACAAGGGGCCTACATTTGTGTTCATTAATCATTTTCTGTTTATAGACTTATAAAAGCCTTTACCGTCTGCTTTTATGTACCTGCATGTTTACTCTTGTACTTTTTCTCCCCGTTTAATCAACCTCTTGGTCCTTCTATGTCGGATTCTCAAGTGCTCCTAGTCCTCAGGCTAAGGAACAAAACCAGAAATTGCTGGAAAGCTTAGCATGTCTGGCAGCATCTATGGTGGGAAATCAGAGTTAACATTTCAGGTTGAATGACCCTTCCTCAAAACTCACTGGTGTAGCACACAGGAAATCAAGCCGCAGTATTTCTAGAGTCACCAACATGTTAAAGATGTAATGGGGAAATGATGGCCTAGTGGTATAATCAGTAGACTATTATTCAGGAAACTCAGCTAATGTTCTGGGGAGAGATAGTAGGAACTGCAGATGCTGGAGAATTTGAGATAACAAGGTGTAGAGCTGGATGAACACAGCAGGCCAAGCAGTATCA